ACATTTTATTACACCGGCTAAACGCAAGTCTTGTGAACGGTCAAAAATATACATCTTCGCTTTCTGTCTTAACACGGGAATTTGAAAACAGATTTCAAGATTTTTGGCAAAACAACCACTATATTGCTATATTTGTTGCACCGTTTTCAGTTGATGTTAGTATTCTACCTGCAAATTTTTAAATGGAATGCACAGAATTGCAATCATATAATCAACTGAAAAAAAAATTGGCCATGTCTCTTTACTAAAAATTCCTTCACTTTACAATCACCCTTTATTTGTGACATCACTTTTTGGCAGCACATACATTTGCAAGCACCTGTTTTCAATTATGAAGCACACGAAGAGCAAATTTAAACAAACATTTCTGACAAGCACCTTGAGAACTCACTAAGAGTCGCAGCCACTTCCATCAAACCAGATGCTGATAGATTCATTTTACAAAAACAAAGTCAAATTTCTAAATAACTTTACATTGTTCCCATTTTTCTAAACAGTACCATACAAAATATTTAAAAATAGAAGTCTTATTATGTATATATGCTAGCTATATTATATGATTTATGTGCAGACCAAGATAATTCCTCTTTACTGGATACAGTCTGGAGAAGCCAAAAGGTTGGACATTCCTACTGTACAGGTTTGCAGCCTAGGAACATAGGCTGTACGTATTGCCTAGGTGTGTAATTGACTATTCCTTCTAGGTTTGGGTAAGTCTACTGTATGTGGCTCACAATGTATTTTTCAGAATGTATCTTCATTGTCAAGGGACATGTGATTGTAATTAAAGGATGCAAGTCTGAAGACGTCTGACTCAGTGTCAAAGAGGTGAGGTTATTCTGCACTGAGTACAGTATTTGTGGCTCATGTTACCTTCTGAGCAAGCCCCCATGGCCTCATTTCCAGGTCTTTAGGGTGAAGGTTTAAAATAAAGTATAATGGGCCAGGTGCGGTGGCTCAAGCCTGTAATCCCAGCACTTTGAGAGGTCGAAGCAAGAGGATTGCCTGAGACCAGGGGTTCGAGACCAGCCTGAGCAACTTGGCGAGACCTCGTCTCTACAATGAATCAAAAAACTAGCCGAGCGTGGTGGCTCATGCCTGTAGTTCCAGCTACTTGGAAGGCTGAGCTGGAAAGATCACCTGAGTCCAACAGCCCAAGGCTGCAGTGGCTGCAAGTGTGCCACTGCACTCCAGAGGGACAACAGAGTAAGACTCCAACTCAAAAAATAAAAATCAAGTATTACTAAACAGCGCATGGCTATGAAAGAAGGTATTGGGGCCACGGGACTGCTGTGCTCCATAGTGAGTGCAGTAACAAAGAGGACAAGTCTGACGGTAAAAGGTTCTCTGCCTGCCATGGGGTGGAGCCCACTGGAGCAAAGAAAGATGCTGGAGTCTAAGCACAATGGGTCTGTGTCTAGACAGGAAACTAACCAAAGACAGCATCACCCATCAGGAACATCACGGAAGTTTTGCGGTGGCGTTGACAACTAGCACAGCATGTTCGGCAGCTCCTGGAGGTCTGGCTTGGGGTCAAGAAAGGAGGAAAAAGATGTTCCCATGCTACCAAGATGGACACGCCATGAGACTCCCCCAGCCCCACCCAGGACTTTCAGCAAGGGACAGGAGACCCTGAGAGAAAACACTCTGCAAAGCTGGGGAGACAAAGACAGGCAACTACTCTTCTGTGCTTCGAATTGACCCCTTCTTTTAATCCCCAGGCTGACACGGCTAAGAAAATGTAAGTTGCATGTTAAACAGAGGATTTAAATGAAATAATCTTTAATAGTCCTTTCCAAATAAAACACGGAGTCTTTCTTTATCAAAGCACTCTGGCAATGGCTTTGACACTGCCCTGTGGGTGCATCTGGTGAAATGTCTTAAAAAGATGCAGATGTGCGCGTTCCTATGATGGCAATGAAGAGCATCCCACTTCCAACCATTTCTAGATTTTTTTTTTTCAAATTCACGTTGGAGCCCATTGAATCACTCCTAGTGGAAATATCCAACATTTGTAATCCAAGTATAAGGGAACCAAAAAAAAAAGCTGATTCTCAAAAGAGAATTAGACAACACAGAGGATCAGCTTCCAAATTTCCCAGACGGGCTCCCACAGTCAACTGAGTAGTAAATGTAATTCGCCTGTGAAGTTCCTCAGCTGCTCAATCTCCATTCCATTAGAGCCAGATCTAAAAGAGTTCTGGCTGCTCTCCAACCCACGGATGTCCGCAGAGGAGCTCGGGAAGGGCTGCCTCCATACTTCAGCACCTGTCCTCAGCCAGCACACCCATCCTCTCTTCACACCGACAGTTAATCCCGCCATCCTCACCGGTGCATTCCACACTGAGCGCTCTTGATTGTCGACCTCATTGTGTCAAACCAGTGCCTTCCCCGCAGCTCATGGGTGATGTCTCTCCAGCATAAAGTCCCTACTCTGACGGACACAAAAGCAACTTTGATTCATGTCAGGAGAATGATGCTGACAAGCTGGCTCCAAATTTCCCCTTTATGGGAGCAACAGGGCCATCACCTACATGATTAAAGACATGCTTACTTGGATTGGAATGCCTTGTTTCCCCCCTGAACCATACCTGGATAAATTTTCATGATCACCGTTATAAATAAGGGAAATGTGTATTGTGTGTGGCAGAGTCAGGATTGTTATTTTGTGCCCAAAAGAACTATCCCTAGGGTCCCTGTAGGAAGGACTTGGGAGAAGGGGCACCTTAACTTCACTGCTCCTATTAGGACATGGGTTTAACTGGTGGCTTTGGGGTAGATGTCAGGGACTAAAGAACTTGCCACCCAACTTTGAGAACATCATTACACCCATATCTTTGGGGTTAAAAGTCAAGATATCGACTCATTAAAACAACTAAGCCATCTTAAAAGCTTATTCTCTTGAAGCTCTCAGCCAAGGGAATTCACTTTTGCACTAACCATAAAGCGGAAACCTAAAACTGGGAGTCAGGAAGACCAAGCTGGGCACATTCATCCTTTACAAGGTGAATTCTCTGTTCTACAGAAGGATATACCATTTGGAGTTGTGTGAGTTCAAAGTTCTCCTTGGCACTTTGTTCTAAAATTATCAAAGCCAAGACACCGTGCACCTTCTGTTTTCTGCACTGAATAAAGAAAGTATAATCATGGAAATCAAAATTAAATATGCAAAGCAGATGTCCTGAGCGGAATAAACGCCACGGGCATCAAACTATACGACTCCACATAGAACAGGTCAAAGTATTAAACTGCACATGCCCTTTGAAACAGAGAACTATTCCTTCTTCTTGTTTTGATGTCTTTAAAGAACTCAAGGAGAGTTTGCAGAAGCTAGTCAATTAAATATTCATGATGTGCTAACCCTAAACCCAAGAGAGCTGGAAGGTACAGGATTGGTCTCATGCCCACAACTTATTTCCAGAATCACTTAAAATGATTTCACGGTGTCTCTGGCCCTGTCTTTGAAAGTGCAATAATGACACCTACCCCCTGATCGAGCCTGGGTGTGTGTGGCTTTGCTGGAGCAGGGCGGAGGGAGGGAAAAGCCCGATGACCAAGGGACCTGCCAGCCAGGTCCTGAAAGGCCTTGCACTTCAGCAAGCAACCAACCACATCTAGCCGCTGGCGAGAGTTGCATCAGCAGCAGTTTCATGTTGGATTTTAATGTTTTTCTGTCACCTGCTCACCTGGACGTCCAGTGCCCTGACGACTGCTGAGGGGTGCATGTCACTCAGTGCCAGGAGAGCCTCGCTTCCCAGGACAGAGCATCAAGTGCAAAGAGACAAAGGCAATATTTTTTCCTCGTTGAAATTCTGGCCTTCAGGAAGCACTTTGGAAGGGTGCAGGAAGCCACCAGAGGGGCGGCTCCCAAATGGCGCCGACACACCGGCCAGCAAAGGCCCTCAGTCCAGCTTCTGTGAGCACAATTCCCGGTGCGCGCCGATTTGAAGCCTCCCCGCGCGCCTCAATTTCAAACCTTCGCACTCGTCAATTTCAAACTTCCCCGGCGGGTCCATCTCAAACCTGCAAGCCTCCAATCCCTAGCCAGCTTCGTCATGCGTCCAATAGGACCCTAACACGGCGTCGGCCCCACCCTGCTCCCTTGCAGCTCCGCCAATCGGAGCGTGGCACGGCCCCTTCCGGCCCCGTCGGCGGATAAATACCGCCCTCTCCCCGCCCGTCTCTCTCTTGGTCTCTCTTTCTCTCTCTCTCTCAGTCTCTCTCTCAGTCTCTCTCTGTTGCCGTCTTCCTCTCTGCAGCTCTCGCCGCGCCTCTCTCCCGCTTCCTCTCTCTCTCTCACTCTCTCTTTTTCTCTCTCTTTTCCTTTTTTCCCATTACAGATCCCCTCTGTAACAGCCACTGTAATAAATCTCTGGGTCCCGGCCGGGGGTGGAGTCGTTACTGGCGCTGAACTGCTTTCAACTTCCATTTTTTTTTTTTTTTTTGAGTTGGAGTCTCACTCTGTTGCCCAGGCTGGAGTGCAGTGGCCGCTCCCGGCCACCGCAACCTCGCCTGCTGGGCTCCAGCGATCCTTCCGCCTCAGCCTTCCAAGTAACTGGAATTACAGGCATGCGCTACCACGCCCGGCTGATTTTTTGATTGATTGTAGAGATGAGGTCTCGCTGCCCAGGCGGGTCTCGAACCCGCGGGCTCAGGCCATCCACTCACCTCAGCCTCCCAAAGGCGCGGGATGACAGGCTGAGCCACCGAGCCCGGCTCTCAACTTCCATTTTTAAATGCAAGGCCAAAAAAATACTGTTAGAAAGAACCATTCTACGTGTTTATGTATGTGCGCATGTGTGTTTCTTTTTGAACAGTCATGGTATGATATAAGAAAATGTCTACGTCGATAAATTGCAGCATGCAAAATGGTGCTTCTGTCTGGACAAAAGTGTTTGTCAGTGGTGAATCCAAGTAGCCCCAAGGTTCTGCTAGGCCAGGCTCTTGATATTTTTTCAGGGACTAGTAACTAAATGGTGCAACCGGGTTTGACTGGCAGAATGCCAGTGTCCACGGAGCAGAAGAAAACAACCCAGCACCTGCAGATACCTGGACAGCTCTCACAAACCTTGTGTTCTGACAGCACCGATGGAACTGTGCTTTTGGAAAACGGCTTAACAATCAGTGAACCAAGGTCTAAATGAAGGAGACCATTCTGTGGGTGGCATATGGTAGACTCTGCTTCTTTAAATCATCTCAGAAAGCCTCGTAGTTTGCTGTTTTAAAGAACGCCGAATGTAATATCCAGGTGGATGTGTTGGTGGCTCTGACCCGAGGTCCAGAAAGAAGCAGGGATACTAGGCGAGGGCACTCTGACTTGGGAGTCCACACCGCAGCAGAAGCAGCTCGCTCAGGCCAGCTGGCCACCTGTCCTGGCTGCTCCCTTGTTCAATCTGCAGATGATGCCTACATTCCCTTCTCACTGAATCAGACCCCTGCCGCGTCACTCTGGAGTTCTAGGGGCAAGAGTTCGGTTCTGGTGCAGAGTCTGCAGTGATCCTCCTCGTATGCCCATCCAGTCTCTCTGAGGTGTGCCATCCTGTCTTCCAGGCACCTCTGCTTCTACCCGGAGGCTCTGCTCCCCTGGGAGCACTGCCATCACCTCTGCTGAGAGCCAGAGCATCTAAAAGGCCCTCCTTTCTTCCTGGGTATCCTTCTCAGTCCACCTGGCTGCTATAACCAAGTGCCATGAGCTGGGTGGCTTACAAACAACAGAATATTTCTTCATGTTTCTTATGTTATTGATTTGTAAACGACAGACCAGTTAGGTGAGCTGCTTTACGGCTAATCTGGAATTTTATTTTATTTTATTTTTCCAGACTGTATTGTTTGATTTTTTAATTTTTAAAGATGTAGAGTGTGATTCGGGGTCAGGTCTACAAGAATATTTCTTGCACTTCTGTCATCTGGAGTCGGAAATCAAAGAACTGGCCGATCCCGCCGTATCCAATGACGGCTATTCCCTGGTTCACAGGTTGTCTTCTCTTGAGTGTTCACCTGGGGAAGGCGAGAGAGAGCTTCCTGTCGTCACTCAGAAGAGCACGGGCCCCCTTCACAGAGGAGGCCTCCACCCCCATGACCGAACTTCCTCCCAGAGGTCCCACCTCCTCATGCCATCACCTCGGAGATTAGGTCTCAACGTGCGTCTTTTGGGGGATACAAACGGCAGCAGCACTGCCACTTCTGCTGGGCCCTCTCCCTCCCTTGTCACTCAAGCTGACGTCCTGGAGCCCTCGTGGACCAACTCTGTGGAGTCTCTCGAAGGATGTGGGGATGCTCTCACAAGGCATTCTCTCCATTTTTTGTTTCCTCTCGCCTCAGAGATTCTGAAGCAGCACGGCCTACTCTTTGATGCCTCTCAGGGTTCAAGGAAGGTCACATTGCAGCTTTACTGACTGGGTTCCATGCTTGCTTCTCCACAGCGTTTTTAGGAGGTTGGCCAATAAACTTATTGGTGTGAAAGGCAGAATCAACATTCTTCTTTGGCTAGTGTAGTGTAAGATTTAGTGTAGGATAGAGCTTGGTGGGCTTAGCTCCCTGTTCTATTATTGCTGGGTATGCTTTCCCCCCAGGACACACCTTGAGTCTTCCTTATAAATGAAAGCAGGCCAACCCACACTACAAGTTGACCAAACCACGTCCACTCCTATACACAAACAAAAGCAGTCTTAGCTCCTCCATTACTTTTGGAAACATTGTTTCCTCATGGATGGATTTATGTTTCCCTACACGATCCCATTAAAGACTGAAGTAATAGGTTGGGCAATAGGTCAGGCACTGTGGCTCAGCCTGTAATCCCACGCTTTGGGAAGCCGAGGCAAGTGAATTTGCCTGAGTCCACGGGTTCAAGACCCGCCTGGGAAAGTTGGTGAGACCTCATCGCTACAATAAATCCATAAAAATTAACCGGGCATGGTGGTGCATGCCTGTAGTTCCAGCTACTTGGAAGGCTGAGGTGGAAGGATCGTCAGAGCCCAGCAGGTGGAGGCTGCGGTGGCCGGGAGTGTGCCACTGCCCTCCAGCCTGGGTGACAGAGTGAGACTCCAACTCAAAAAACAGCAACAACAAAAAGACTGAAGTAATAAAGATCACCACTAGCTTTGAAAAACCATGTGATACTTATAAAATATGAATTAATGGTCCCCCTCTTGTTGACAGATCAGAAGATAATGACAGCTACTTAGGGAAGCACTTAGGCATCTATCCTAAGTGTCTTCCCAGAAGTCACACCCACCACCGGGAGGCAACTGGCATCAAGTCTGAAATCAAGCAACTGTGACCCAGGTGTGACTTGGGAAAAGAAGGAGATGCAGAGCGTGAGATGGTAAATGACCAAAGGCTGTGTTTAAGCATCCTCCTAGTGAGGACAAAACACTGGAAGGCACATTTTCAAAGAGTTCATGTTCTACAGTTAGTCATGGGTCTAAATCACCCCTTGATGTGTTATTATGATCATAACAGAGCAGTAGCATATATAGGGTATGGGAATAAGCAGATCCAGCCAGATTAATCCCATCTCTACCCGTTTGTTTTCTTTAATCTTTAAAATTTATTTATTTATTATAGAGTTGAGAGGTACAAGTGAGGATTTAGTTCATAAGTAAGCTGCATGCAGGTGAAGACTGGACTTCTAGGTGGCCCTCTCTCCCCCTGGTAGTGGACCAGGTACCTGTTGGGTTGTCACGTGTCCCCTTCTTTCTTTTCTCATTCCCTCTCCTAGCAGTGCCAACCCACTGCCAATCCTGTCCCTGTGCTAACATGACTAGTATTCGGGGTTCACTTATGAGTGAGAACATGCGGTGTTCACTCCTTTGTTTCTGTGATCGTTCACATAGTATGATGTTCTCCGACTGCATTCAAGTTGCTGCAAATTCCGTGATTTTGTTCTTTATGGTTGCAAAGTACTCTATCATGTATATGTTCCATATTTTCTTTTTCCATTCCACTTTCTATGGGACACAGGATTGGGTTTATGTTTTTGCTATTGTGAATAGTATGGCAATAAACATGTGTGTGCATGTGTCTTTTTGTAGGGCAATTTATGTTCCTCCAGGAATATTCCCGGGAGAGGGAATGCTAGATTACATGGAAGATTGATTTTTAATTCTAATGGAAATCACCACAGTGTTATCCATAGAAATTCAACTAGCTTTCATTCCCACCAACCGTGTGGAAGCATTCCCTTTTCTTTGCAGCTGAGCCAAGACCTGTTTGTTTGTTTGTTTGTTTGCTTGTTTTACTTATTAATGATAGCCATCCTTATCAGAGTTAAGTGGTAGCTCACGGTAATTTTGATTTGCATTTCTCTGATGATTAGTGAGGCTGAGCATTTTTTCATGTGTCTGTGGTTGCTGGTGTGTCATCTTTTGAGAAATGTCTTTCTATGTCCTTTGCCTACTTTTTAATGTTTTGTGTTTTTTTTTTCTTCCACTTCATTTGAGATCCTTGTACATTCTGGGTGTTAGGTCTTTGTCAGACGCATGATTTGCAAATAGTTTTTCCCATTCTATGGGTTGTTGCTTTATTCTCTAAATGATTTATTTTGCTGTGCAAAAGCTTTTCAGTTTGATAAGGTTCCACCTATCTCAGCTTTTGTAGCATTTACTTTTGGGAACTTAGTCATGAATTCACTGCTTACTCTGATGTCCAGAAGGGTGTTTACCACATTTTCTTCCAGGATTTTTGTAGCCTGAGGCTTTACATTTAGTTTAACGATCCATTTTGAGTTGATTTTTGTATGTGGTGATAGGCAGGGGTCCGGTTTCATTCTTCTGTATGTGGTCAGCAAGTTTTCACAGCACCATTTGCTAAATATGGTCTATTTTCCCCAATGGTCGTTATTGGTGGCTTTGTTGAAGATGAGTTGATTGAGGGACTGTGTCTTTACTTCCACACTCTCTGTTCTATTGCATCGGTCTATGTGCCTATTCCTGAACCATAAAGTTTAAAGTCTGGAAGTGCGATACCTCCAGCTTTGTTCCTTTTGCTGAGGATTGTTTTGGCTATTTGTGCTCTTTTTCATTTCCATATGCATTTCTGAATCATCAATTCCAGGTCTCCGAAAAATGATGTTGGTAACTTGATGGGTATTGCACTGAATCTGTAGCTTGCCTTGGGTAGGATGGACATCTCGACAATATTGATTCTTCCAACCCATAAGCATGGGATGCATTTCCATTTGTGCATGTCATCCTTGACTGCTCTGAGCAGCATTTGAGGGTCTTCTTTGTAAAGGTCTTTCACGTCTCTGGTTAGATGGATGCCACGATATTTCTTGTGTGTGTGTGTGGCTGTTGTGAATGAGATTGTGTCTTTTATTTGAGTCTCTGTCTGCTTGTTGTTGGTGTTCAGAAATGCAACTGTCTTATCCAGGTTGATTTTGTAACCCACTACTTTACCAAAGTTGTTTGTTGGTGTGAGAAGGTTTTTGACAGACTCCTTGAATTTTCTACGTATAAAACATACCGTCTGCAAAGAGGGACAGCTTAATTTCCTATTTTCCTATTTGGATTACCCTGATTTCTTTCTTGATAAAAACCCTCAAATACCTAGGCATAAAAGGAACATTCCTAAAAACAATAAGAACCATCTATGATAGACCTGAAGTCAGCATTTTTGTCAATAGGCAGAAGCTGGGAGCATTCCTCCTAAGAGTAGGAACAAGATAAGAATGTCCACTCTCATGCCTCCTGTTCACCATAGAGCTGGAAGGCCTAGCCAGAACAATGAGGCAAGAGAAGAATATCTCTATCTATTTATTACTAACAGCATGATTTGACAAAAACAATCAATGTTGCTGTGTCCTCATCTCTTCACCTGTAAATAGGGGTAATGTCTGCCTTGCAAGATTAACTATAGGAAGAATAATGAAAATCGTGTGTGTAAAGCCTTCAGCGTAGTGACCAACTCATGTTAATCATTTAAGAATGGCAACTCTTTTTGTTTTTTTGATTTGAGTAAGAGTCTCACTCTGTTGCCCAGGCTGGAGTACAGTGGCACGCTAACAGCCACCGCAGCCTCTGCCCACTGGGCTCAGGTGATCCTTCCACCTCAGCCTTCCGAGTAACTGGGACTATCATGCCCAGCTAATTTTTTTAAATTTATGGTCGCGATGAGGTCTCACC